GGGGGGGTTGAGCAGGTCACAGCAAGTGGGGGGGTGGGGACAGCTCAGTAGTGCAACATCAGGGGGGAGCAGGGACAGGAACATGGCGAGGGAGGGGGGGCTCAGGTGCCCCCACCCCATCAGGGCTGTGGGTGCTGGGAAGTGCTACTGGTCCTACTGGGACAGAACCAGTCCCTTGCTGGGATGGGGACACCCCCGGGGCGGGTGGGGACTTTGGGGGAGACGGTGAGGGAACAAAAGGCGCTGCTCCAACCCCCCCAGCTCCGTCCCTAAGCGCCACCAAGGCGGGGACACCAGGACACGCCCACACCCCACACTTCCCAAGGAACCCAAAGAACCGGAATGCCAAACACCCCCCGGGGCACTCGGGGACACCTCGTGGTGGGGGCTGAGGGGTCCCGGTGGCCGGGGGGGCCCGGGGGGGCTCAGGGCACGCGGTAGGTGGAGGTGTTCTTGGGCTCGGTGCTGGGCACGCACCAGTCCCCCGCCTCCTGGCTGGCCTGGTAGTGCCGCCACGCCGACTTGTTGTACACGGGCAGCCGCTCCACCGAGTCCGTGGACAGCGCCTGGGGGGCACGGGGGGCTCAGCGAGGGTCCTGAGACCCCCCCCAAGGCGGCTCTGGGGACAGGCACTCACCTTCAGGTAGATGACGGCGTCGGTGCCGAAGCCCTCCATGGAGAAGAGCTGCAGGTCCCCCTGGAAGTACTTGGCATAGAGGCGGGAGATGGGCAGCCCGTAGCCAAAGCCGGCCTGGGGGGGCAGGGAATTGGGGTGGGGGTGTCCCCAGGGCTGGGGGGGGGACCCTCAGGGCACCCTTGGCCTCCCCACAGTGCCCCAAGAAGTGCCAGGAGTGTCCCCGGCACTGCCAGCGGTCACGGTGGCACCATCAAAGGGCTCCAGAATGGCCACAGGGGCACCCTGCCACCCCAAAGTGTCCCCGTGCCACCCCAAAGTGTCTTCATGCCACCCCAAAGTGTCCCCATGCCACCCCAAAGTGTCCTCATCCCACCATAAAGGGTCCCCCTGCCACTCCAAAGTGTCCCCATGCCACCCTAAAGGGTCCCACTGTAGTCCCTCAGTGCTTCATGCCACCCCGAAGTGTCCCCATGCCACCATAAAGGGTCCCCATGCCACCATAAAGGGTGCCCCTGTCACCCCAAGGGTCCCCACATCACGCCCAAGTGTCCCTGTGCCACTTCCAAGCACCCCCACACCACCAAATGTCCCCATGCCAGCCTAAACGTCCCCAGAAGGTCCCAGGCCAAGCCCAAACCCCCCAGTGCCACTGCAGCTCACCCCAATCACCCCCAAAACACTCCCAGGCCACTCCAGCCAACCCCAAACCTCCCCATGCCACCCTCAAAGCACCCCCTGCCACTCCAGGTCCCCAAATGACCCCCAAACCTCCCCAAGCCACTCCAGCTCCCCTCAAACACCCCCAGCCCCCCTCAGCTGCAGCCCCCCCTCCTTGTCCCCCTCCCCACGAGGGTCCCCAGCCCCTGGGGGGGGGGCCACATACCAGGGGGGCCCCCCCGGAGCCCAGCTGGGGGGTGGGGGCTGTCGAGTACATGTAGCTGAAGAGCCGCTCGATCTTCCTCAGGGGCACCCCCATGCCCCTGTCACTCATCTGGGGACACCAGAGCAGGTGACAATGCTGCTCCTGTCCCCCCTCCCCACATCCCCCCTCCCCAGGGTGGGCTGGGGTCCCTCACCCGGATGGACAGGTCCTCCTGGCCCAGGGCCACCATCACCCTGATGGCCGGCAGCCGGGGGCTGTTCTCGTGGCTCTCCACCGTGGCTCTCATGGCATTCTGGGGACACAGAGCCACGGGGGGGTCAGGGGGTCCCCCACAGCCCCCCGAGACCCCCCCAAAGGGCTGGGCTACCTTGAAGAGCTCGAAGAGCATGTGGTACAGGTGGGATGGGACGTAGACGATGCTCACGGGCTGCTCAGCGTTGCAGGCTGGAGGGGACACTGGCATTGGTGGGGACAATCCTGACCCTAAACCTGCCCCAGGCCTGGAAGGGTCACCCCCCACCACAGGGACCCCCACACCTAGATAAGCCAAATATCCCATGCTACAGGGACCCCAACCCTAAAGGAGCTGAGAACCCCCTGAAATAGGGACCCCCAACCCAGAACGAGCCACACAAAAATCCCCCTGCCCCAGGGTCCCCACCCTAAAGGAACCACCTGAGAATCCCCAACCCCAAAGGAGCCACCCACGATCCCCCTGCCTGGGCCCCCCGTGTCCCCTCAGCCCCTTGTCCCCTCAATCCACTGTCCCCTCACTGCCACTGTCCCCTCACCCCTACTGTCCCCTCAGCCCTGCTGTCCCCTTACCCCTGCTGTCCCCTCAGCCCTGTTGTCCCCTCAGCCCCGCTGTCCCCTCAGCCCTGTTGTCCCCTCAGCCCCACTGTCCCCTCACCGTTGACCTCCTCGATCTCCAGCTCGGGCGAGGCCATGTAGTATTTGTCACACAGCAGCTTGGCCATGTTGTAGGCGTCTGGCAAAGGAGGGGACAGAGGGCTCAGCACCCCCAGGACCAACAGGGGCAGCCTTTGGGTCCCCCACCCCCAAACATTCCCCATTCCCACAGATCCTGAGGACGTTCCTGGTGTCTCCTGCACAGCTCAGGGGACAGTTTGGCTGAGGCCACCCCAAACGTGTGACACGAGTGGTGCCAGGGGGACTTCCAAGCAACCCCCACCCCCCGAAGTGCCCCCGCAGTGGGGGTGGGACCCCAGAGCCCACCAACCTCTCACCACGTTGGCCACGTTGCAGTGGGGGTCGATGCTTCCGATGTGTTTGGGGTGTGCGGGGTTGGTGCTGCCATCGAAGAGCAGGGCTGGGGAGGGGACAAAGAGCTGGGGGCACCCCAGGGACACCCTCGGGGACACCCCCAGGGACACCCCCAGGGCACCCTGGGGCTGTGGGGGGAAACATTTGACACCAGGGAGACGCCCAAGATAGGATCCCTGGGATTAGTGGTGACTCTCAGGACAGACCCCTGTGGCTGGGGGGACACTCTGGGGACACCCAGTGATGATGGGGACCCTCAGGACAGACCCCTGGGGTTAGGAGAGGACCCTTGGGGCAGGGAGAACCTTGAGGAACTCCCTGGGGCTGGGAGGACCCTTGGGCCGGCAGCCCCCCAGGCTCACTGTGCTGGTTGATGAGCATGCGGATGGAGATGCGGCTCAGGTAGAAGCGGTCCAGGAAGTACTGGATGTTCTGGTTGGACACGGGGTCGTCCCCGTACGTCTCCTTGTACTCGATCACCCCCTGCGCCATGGTGGGGACAACGTCGTTGTGCCGGTTCCGGATCGTCACCAGCGCGTTGGTGAACCTGCACAGGGGACAGGGACAGCGCTGGGGACACCCGCCCCAGGCACAGCCCCGCTCCAGGCCCGGATCCCCGGGAGTTGCAGGCGCTGGCAAAACCCACAGCCAGCTCCTGTGGCACCTCAGGGTGACACCCCGGGACGGGGGACAAGGACACGCCGTCACCTCCCGACTCACTGTCCCAGCGTGGCTTGGTCCTCGGGGTCCCTGTCGTGGAATTCCATGATGTCCAGCAGGCTCTGCACGTACCTGGGGGGACACGGTCATCCCCCAGCTGACACCCCCAAGCAGAGAGTGACCCCAGGTGACAGCACGCAGGGCCAGGGGCCAGCGCCCCTCAGCCCAGGCCCCCACCCCAAAATCTGCTGCACCAGGGGTCACTGTCCCACCACACTGCTGGCACTTGGGGACACCTGGGGACACTGGCCCTCTGATGGGGTTGGGGCTGTGATGGGGGTGGCACGGCCGGACCCCCTGGCACAGCCTGACCCTGCTGGCAGCAGCCCAGGACACCGGACAAACAACGTGTCACGTGGTGGCCTGAAAAAGGGTCACACTGCTGGCACTGGCACGGGGACATGGCACTTAAAGGGACACTCAGACCCACCCAGGACAGGGACATCCTGTGGCACTGGTGTCCCCCCCGCTGGCTGGGACACCCCGCTGGCACAGGAGTGTCCCCAAAGGACCTGCAGCCCGTGTCACCCAAGGGCACGGCGTGGCACCAGCTGGGGAGTGCCCTGCCTGCCACCCCTCCCTGTGTACCCCCTGTGCCAGCAGGGGAGGACAGCTGGTGACAGCTGTGGGACACACAGTGGTGGTGGCACCCGAGGCGACAGCGGAACTCCCAGGGCGGTGACAGGAGCCACAGTGGCAATGGGAGCTGTGCAGGGGACCCAGGAAGGTGACAACAAGTGGACCCGTGGCAGTGGGACCCCAGGCGAGTGGGGGGACCCGTGGCAGTGGGACCCCAGGCGAGTGGCAGTGGTGGCACCCCCAGCGGTGCCAGCTGCCCAGCCAGCGCAGGAGCGCGGGTGGCAGTGCCAGCAGCCCCCTGGCAGTGTCCCCGTGTCCCCGAGGGCCACACTGACCAGCTCTGCACCAGCTGCACGGAGGGCGTGCGCAGCACCCGGTCCGGGAGCAGGTTGATCTCCTTCATGATGTTGGAGAGGCGCACGGGCAGCTCCTGGCGCAGGAAGGCGAACGACGTCTTCTCACAGGCATTGCTGGAGCCTGGGGACACGGGGGGACACGGGGGGACACGGGGGGACACGGGTGAGCCCCCCAGAGCCAGCGCTGGCAGCACTGCCACCCCTTTGGCAGCAGGGACAGGGGACAGCAGCAGGTCCTGGTCCTTGGCTGGGGGACACTGGGGGACTCTGGCGGGGGGACAGGGAGGGCTGAGGGTGGGGACAGTGCTCAGCCCACTGCGAGGACAGGCTGGGTGCCCAGCGCCACCCAGAACAGCCCAAACTGGGGCTGGGAGACCCCCGAGTGCAGATGGGAGGGGAGAAGGAGCTGGGCCAGCACCAGAACCCAGAGCAGGCCCAGGGGACCCCAGGGACACAGAGAGGGGTCCCCAACCAGGAGCTGAGCAGGGGGGGCACAGCTGACCCCAAAGGCCTGGATCCCTGGGGACAAGGGACATGGGGATGGAGCTGGGGGGACAGGGAGGACCCCGGAGTGCAGCCCCCAGCCCCTGTCTGGGGAGCAGGAGACAAGAGGGGGCAAGGTTGGGTGACAGCCATGGGGGGACATCCCCCCCGCCGGGGTCATTGGAGCAGATTGGGGGGTCCCAGCTGCCCACCTGGGGGGGCCAGGCCGGTGCAGGGCCGGGGGTCCCTCACAGGGGGTATTTACTGGGGGGGTGGGGGGTCAGGATGTGCCCCAAATGAGGGGGTCTGGGGGGGCAGAGGGGCCACCCCCACAAGGGGCCTGTGAGGAAACCACATCCCAATGCCACTTATTCACCCGGGGGGCGCTGCTAAACCCCCCGCCCCCAATAACAAAGGGATATTTGGGGGGGGTCAGGGTTACCACACCCTCAGTGAGGGGGGGCAGCCCCCAGAGCCCCCCGCGTTTAGGGGGTGCGGAGGGGAGAAACTCCCTGGGAAGGGTTAGGGTTTCCCGGGGCGGGGGTGTGAAGGAATTCCCGGGCAGGGGGTCGGGAATTCCCGGGAAGGGAGGCAGGAATTCCGGGGCTGTGCACGGAGCTCCCTCCCCTCACACCGGCTGTCCCCGCCGAGGCGGGGGGCTGAGGGGTGTCCCGGTGCCGGAGCAGGGTGGGGGTCCCGGGGCTGGGCCGGGGTCGCGGTCGGGGGCGGGGAGGGGGGTTCCTTTATTTACCGAAGTCCAGAAACTGCTTCATGGAGAGCGGCGACGGCGAGAACTTGCTGAAGTGCTCGATGTAGGTGGGGACGCCGGCCAGCGCCGCGCGCTTCCCGAGGCACCGCAGCAGCCGCATGGCCCCGCTGTCCCCTCAGTGTCCCCTCGTTGTCCCCTCGTTGTCCCCTCAGGGTCCCCCCAGGGTCCCCTCAGCGCCCCTCAAGCCCCCGGGCCCGGCCCCGCCCCCGCCGCGCCGCGCGCAAACAACACACCCGCTGTCGATCAACGAACCCCAGCCAATCAGCGCCCGTTATGCAGGAAACCCCGCCCATCCCCAGTGCCAATCCGGCTTCACCGCTAGGCACGCCTCGCTGTCAATCATCGTGAGCCACGCCCCTCAGTGGAGTTTATGCTGCCCGCCCCGCTGTCAATCACCGTGAGCCACGCCCCTCAGTGGAGTTAATGCTGCCCGCCTCGCTGTCAATCAGCTCGCGCCTCGCTGCCAATCAGCGCCCGCACTGCTTTGGGCCCCGCCCATCCTGGAGCTAACCCCACCCCTCGCTGACGCACCAGCTCTGATTTGCATAACCGGGGCTCCCATCAGCCCCTCGGCGGTCCCAGACCCCTTCCCGGGGTGTTTTTTGGGGGTTTGAGCCTTTCCTGAAGGTTTTGGGAGGTCTGAGCCCACCCCAAACCCAGCATTACCCCCCCATCACCCCCTGCACCCCGGGTTCATCATCATCCCCCCACCCCGGGTTTGGGGGCCGGCTGGGGGGCTGGGGGCGCGGGACCCCCTCCCCAGCCGCCCCCGGTACCGACCAGACGCCAGGACTCGACACCGAAACACCAAAACACGGAATAATTTAACCCCGCGGGGCGGGACAGGGACCCCCGGGGCGGGGGGCGAGGGGCGGGAATGGGGGGGACACGGCTGCACCCCCCAAGGCAAAGCTGCGAGAACAGCAGGAGGGGTCTGGGGTCTGCAGGGGAGACCCCCGTGGGGTCTGAGGTCAGCAGGGGAGACCCCCATGGGGTGTGGAGGGGGAGACCCCCGCGGGGTTTGGGGTGAGGAGGGGGTGCAGGAGGGAACGAGCTCCCCCCGGGGAAAGCAGAGGGGTCCCGCACCCATTGCCGAGGGCAGGGGGGCGAGCGTGTCCCGGCCTGCAGGGACGTGTCCCCAGGGGCCGGGCCGTGTCCCAGGGAGGCTGGGGACAAGGGACAAGGGACAGGGAGGCGGCGAGCGGAGTGTCTGCGGAGCGGGGGGAAGGCACTCGGTGAGGCCAGCAGCACTTCGGGGAGCGGGGGGGCACATTTGGGGGGTCGCCCCCACAAGCGTGCAAGGCACGAGCGTGCAAGAGCCCCCCGGGGGGGCGGGGAGAGGCTGCGGGAGCCCACCGGGCAAACCGGGAGGAGCTGCGGGAGCCCACCGGGAGAACCGGGAGGGGCTGCGGGAGCCCCCCGGGCGAACCGGGAGGAGCTGCGGGAGCCCCCCGGGCGAACCGGGAGGGGCTGCGGGAGCCCCCCGGGAGAACCGGGAGGGGCTGCGGGAGCCAAGACCGGCGGCGGCCGCGTCTGAGGGGAAGGGGAAGGGGCAGGGGGAGATGCGCTTGTGCAAAGTCAGAGCCCCCCTGGCAGGGGCCCGGGCGGGGGGCTGGGGGTCAGTAGTACTTGTCCGGCTCCTGCCACTTGGTCACCCAGAGCTTCTTGCGGCGGCGGCGGGGCAGGAGCCCCCCGGGCTGGTAGCGCTGCTCCTGCCGGATCCGCACCGCGTGGTACTTGGGCATGATCCGGTAATAGCGGGTCCGCTGGAAAAAGTCACACTGCGAGGGGGACAGAGAGGGGACACGGCGTCAGTGAGGGGCCGGAGAGGGGCCGGCAGAGGGAGAGAGACCCCCGAGGCGGCGAAGAGCAGAACAAAGGGAGCGGCGATCCTGGAGAGCCCGCGGAGCCCGCAGGGACCCTGCGGGACAGAGGAAGAGGAGAGGAGGCTGAAGAGGAGGAAGATGCCGCTGCAGCCCGGCCCCACGGGGCATTACCAGGCGGCGCCCGGGGGGGCACGGGGGGTGCCCCCCGTTAGTAGTCGTCCGTGAGCCGCTTGGTTTCCGACGGCTGGATCCTCATCTCCGCCTTCTGCCCCTTGGCCTCGTACATGGCCCGGGTGTTGGCCCGCCGGAAGAACCCGCACTGCAGGGAAGGGGACAGGGTCAGGGGGGTGGGACAGGGGCTGGGGGGGGTCCTGGGTACTCCCCCGGCAGGTGGGGGGAGCGGCGCAGGGAGATGCCCCACAGGGATGCTGTGGGGTGGGGGGGTCCTGCAGACCCAGCGACCCCTCCGGGTAAAAGAGGGGGCTTCAAGCAGCTGGGGGTGCCCCCAGGGGGGTCTGGGGGTCCCCCAGTCCCTGCAGTGCAGCCACAGGGAAGGAGGTCCAGCCCCGCTTTGGGCGCACACCCCAAAGTGTTTTGCGCCCCAAGACACGTTGGGAATGCCTCTGCTCCTCTTCCTCCTGCCTCTCCAGCCGGGAATCTTCCTCCCGGGAGGGCACCTCCCACTTGGGGACACCTGCCACCCGCGGGGGACACCTTCCAGCTGAGGGGACAATCTTCCAGTCCCTGGCACCCCTCGCCGGGCAGGGAGGAGGTGGCCACGGGTGACACGAGCCCGTCGGGTCCCAGCGCGGCTCCTGCACCCCCTCCTCCCCGGGAAGGGGATTTGGGACCCCCCTCACCTTCCAGAGGAGGAGGATGATGAGCCCCAGCAGCAGCAGCCCCGCTGCCACCGACACCAGCACCAGCCAGAGCGCGATCTCGGCCGGCTGCTCCTCCTGCAGCTCCGAGTCCACGTCCACGGAGAACTGGGGGCGTGGGAAGGGCCTCGCTGGGGCTCGGGGCTCCAGCGGCCCAGTCCCACCCAGTCTGTGCCAGTCCCGCCCAGTCTGCCTCACTCCCGCCCAGTCTATCCCAGTCCCACCCATCCCAGTCCGGCCCAGTCCGGCTCACCCGCACCGTGTGGTTCCTCATGCTGATGGTGGGCACCTGCGAGCGCAGGAACAGCGTGGCCGTGCCCGCCACCTTCACACGGTCAAAGTCCCGGAACTCCTGGGGACAGGGGGACACGGCTGAGGGACAGGGACGGCACGGCACGCACAGAGCACAGCACGTGGATGATGATGGGGACATGGATGATGGGGACACGGATGACAAGGACACGGATGATGGGGACATGGATGATGGAGACATGGATGATGGGGACACGGATGATGGGGACATGGATGATGGAGACATGGATGATGGGGACATGGATGATGGGGACATGGATGATGGGGACACGGATGATGGGGACATGGATGATGGGGACACGGATGACGGGGACACGGATGATGGGGACACGGATGATGGGGACATGGATGACAAGGACATGGATGATGGGGACATGGACGATGACAGAGACACGGATGATGGCTGACACACAGACGGAGGGGGCACACAGGTGACAGCAGGGACACACAGGGGTGGCTGGAGCTCCTGAGCTGAGCCCTGGCAGACCCGGAGCCCAGTTTAACAGCGCCCCAGGCTCAGCCCCGCGCCCGCAGCCCGGCTCACCTCGATGAAGGTGCTGTTCCACACGCGGGCGCGGAGGCTGAAGCTGGAGGGCAGCTGCGTGTGCAGCAGGGGACACTCGAACCACACGCAGCGCGCCGTGCCCGCCGAGCAGCTCTGGGGGACACGGCGGTCAGGGGGCACCAAGCACCGCCCCGGCGCCAGGGAGCGGCGGGGACAGTGACCCGGGAGGGGGGATGTGCTGCCCGACCCCATCTTCCCCTGCAGCCCCCACTCACCAGCACCGCCTCGGACCTCGGGCGCCGGCCGGTGGCCAAGGTGACCGGGGGCTCGCCCGGCTCGGGGGGCTCCAGCTCCCGCCTCTGCCGGGCTGGAGCCTGGTCCTGCAGCAGCTGAGGGGGGACACCAACCCCATCAGGGCTGTGCCGGGGGGCTGAAGGACCCCCGCGGTGGGGCAGGGGCACGGCCCTGAGGGCACCGGGTGACTCACGGTGAGGTTGAGGGGGTTGATGAGCCCCCCGGGGGGGTGACACGTGTCGTTGCCGTTCACCAGGATCTCCGTGGGGTAGAGGAGCCATTTGCCGTTGGGGATCTCGTAGGGCCACTCAAACCCCAGCAGGATGGTGCCCAGCGTGCCCAGGGACTCGCCTTTGGTGGTCACCTGCGGGCAGGGCGGGAGGTGCAGTCCGCCGTTCCCAAATCCGCCTTCCTCCCGCATTCCCAAATCCGCTTCCTTCCCTCGTTCCCAAATCCGCCTTCCTCCCGCATTCCCAAATCCGCTTCCTTCCCTCGTTCCCAAATCCGCCTTCCTCCCCCATTCCCAAATCCGCCTCCCCCCGGCGCCGGCCACGCCCAGCTCACCTGGAAGTCGAAGGTGAGGGGGCTGCCCACGTCCTGCTCCTGTTTCATGGCCGACTCGCCCACCACGGTCCCGCTGAAGTAGGACTGGATGTGGGAGGAGGCTCTGGGAACGGGAACGGTGTCAGGGGCACAGGGGACATCCCACTGCTGCCCCAGTCCTGGGACACGGAGGGCTGGCACAGCCAGACTCGGGTGGGGGGATGGAGGGGACACAGGGGGGTCCAGGGGAGAGAGAGAGGGTGAAGGGGACACAGAGAGGGTGGAGGGGACACAGAGGGGTCCAGGGGACACAGAGGGGGTGCAGGGGACACAGAGAGGGTGCAGGGGACACAGAGAGGGTGCAGGCGACACAGAGAGAGTGGAGGGGACACAGAGGGGGTGCAGGGGACACAGAGAGAGTGGAAGGGACACAGAGAGGTCCAGGGGACACAGAGAGGTTCAGGGGACACAGAGGGGTGCAGGGGACACAGAGGGGGTGCAGGGGACACAAAGGGGTCCAGGGGACACAGAGGGGTGCAGGGGACTCTCACATGCTCAGCGAGGACTGGATGCTGTAATCCACCAGCAGCTTGGCCAGCACGGGCTGCAGATCCTCCTGGGTGCTCTGCCTGCCGGGGCACCGGCATGGGGCACCGGGATCGGCATCTCCCCGGTCCCACCGGGACCATCCCCGCCCCCGTCCCGCCCCTCCCACTCACGTGGACAGGTCCAGCCACACCGCCACCTCCCGCGTGTCCAGCATGATCCCGATGGCTTCGAAGGTGATGGTCAGCTCAGCCTGCACTCGGGGGCACAGGGAGCAGCTCAGCCCTGCTGAGCCCCCCAGGAAGGGCCGGGGGGCAGCTGGGGGCAGCTGGGGGGCAGCTGGGGGCAGCTCTCACCCTCTGGTTCCTCTTGAAAGGGTTCCCCAGCTCGCACAGCACTGTCTCCCCGAAGGTGCAGGCTCCGCTCTGGGGAGGACAAGAGGGTCAGGATCCTCCTGGCCGAGCCCAGCTGCTCCCGGTGGGACTCGGGGCCCCGGGTGCCCCCCGTACCGGGCGGACGGAGGAGGGCAGCAGGCTGGGGGGCACGGTGACGTTCAGCAGGGCCTCGTGGGCGTCCTCGCCGTTCCAGGGCGCCGTGGGGACGTTGGTGATGTTGATGCTCAGGTGCAGCTTGCGCACGTCCCGGCTGTACTGCAGCACCTGGGTGCCGTTCACCCTGCGCGCACAGCGGGGTCAGCCGTGGTACAGGGACACAACGTGGCACAGGGACACAACATGGTATAGGGACACAACGTGGTATAGGGACACCCCGTGGCACAGGGACACACCATGGCACAGGGACACACCATGGCACAGGGACACAACGTGGTATAGGGACACCCCGTGGCACAGGGACACACCATGGCACAGGGACACAACGTGGCACAGGGACATCCCGTAGTACAGGGACATCCCATGGCATAGGGACACCCCGTGGCACAGGGACATCCCGTGGCACAGGGACATCCCATGGCACAGGGACACAACATGGCACAGGGACACAGAGTGGCACAGGGACATCCTGTGGTACAGGGACACAATGTGGCACAGGGACACCCCGTGGCACAGGGACATCCCATGGCACAGGGACACAACGTGGTATAGGGACATCCCATGGCACAGGGACACACCGTGGCACAGGGACACCCCCAGGGGGAAGAGGGGACACAATAGGGACACACGGTGGCACAGGAACATCCCATGGCACAGGGACATCCTGTGGCACAGGGACACCCCTGGGGGGATGAGGGGACACGCAGGGCCCTGCTGTCACCTGGGCAGCGGCTGGTTCTGCTCGGTGACGAAGCTGCTCCGCAGCTGGAGGTTGCTGTAGCACTGGTTGTCGGAGCCACATTCCTTCTGGAACTCGATCTGCAGGGACAGGGATGTCCCCTGAGTCGCTGCCACCCCCGGGGCACCCCAGCGTGTCCCCCCGCCCAGCTCACCTTGGTCTCGTTCTCGTGGGACTGGTCCTGGTTGAGGACGGGGAAGGCGTCCAGGGAGTGGGGGCCCAGCTGGAAGGTTCTGGGCCTCTCCAGCAGGGAGTAGTTCATGGAGAGCACGATGGGGTGCAGCTTGTCCCGGACATTGTCCTGCAGGGTGGGAACCACACACAGATCCTGCCTGGACCCAAAGGCAGCTCCAGCCACGGCTGGGGTCCCCCTCTGCTGCTGCCAGCCCAGTGAGAGACCCCAGAGAGTGATCACAGGGATGGAGGTGGGTGGATGATGAATGGATGGATGGTTGGATGGATGATGGATGGATGATGGATGGATGATGGATGGATGGATGATGGATGGATGGATGATGGATGGATGGATGGATGGATGGATGGATGGATGGATGGATGGATGGATGGATGGATGGATGGATGGATGGATGGATGGATGGATGGATGATGGATGGATGGATGGATGGAGGGAAGGATGGATGGAAGATGGAGGGAAGGACGCTCACCAGCAGCAGGAGCTCCTGGGACTGGCAGCGGGTGTCGGGCATGGAGAAGTCCCCGGTGTAGGTGGCAGATTGGGACCCCGAGAACCTGACCCTGGGCGGGTGCCGGTCCTTGTCGGCCTCCAGCGTGTACTGCAGGGCTGGGGGACAGCACCAGTTGTCCAACACCCCCCACAACGTGTCCCCATGTCCCCGTGTCCCCCCAGCACCCCCCCACTCACTGATCCTCTCGCTGTAGTTGGGGTCCCCCGCGCTCTGGTTGTAGGAGAAGCACAGGGTCACCGTCATGCTGGGGGGACAAAGGGGCTGTGAGCCGAGCCAGGGGTGCCACCAGCAGCCACGGGGACACCGGGGACACCTGGGACTCACCAGGACTTGGGCGTGCACTGGGCAGGGTCCACCTTGCTGGGGGTCACCGTGAAGGTCTTGTCCAGGATGTTGATCACGGGCCGGGCTCTGGGCAGGAATTGGGCTGGGCTGAGCCCCCCTGCTCCGTGCCCACCCCAGGGGTGGCAGCGGTGGCAGGACACCTGTCCCCTGTCCCCATGGCTGTACCTGAGCAGCACGACTCTCTCGCTCAGGCTGCCCACCAGCAGGTCCGGGTAGGAATTCCCGTCCATGTCCAGCCCCCCGCTCAGCGAGTACCCGAAGGTTTTTATCTTGGTGGGGCCCAGCTCTGCCCCGCTGATCACCTGGATTTGGGGGGCAGGGGGTCTCACCCAGTGCCCTGGAGTGGGGGTCTCGGGGGGTGTCCAAAGGCCTGATCCTGGGGAGGGGTCCAGGCCCTGGCTCGGGGTCCCCGGGGCCGTTACCTGCCGGGGTCGGTCCCGCAGCCCCAGGGCGCTGCTGTGGTAGATGTAGACCTTGCCAGGCCCCTCGAAAGGAGCCCCCACGGCGATATCTGGGGGGACAAGAGCAGGGTCAGCCCCCCAGGGCCCTCCCTGGGACCCCAAACTCCAGCCCCAGCCCCAGCCAGGCAGCCCTGGCCATGTCTGGGGTCCCCCTTTCCTGTGAGACCCCACAAACTCAGCACAGGAGACAGAAGGAATAACGGGACAATCAGGACCTCCAACCTATCCCCATCTCCTCCTCTTCACCCCACACCTCTCCAAAGACCCCCCCCCACACCCTCTCCTTTCCTGAGCCCCCCCGTGGCTCCCCAAAAAGCGGCTCCCCACAAAGGAGCTCACCCTGGAACCCGTCCTGGTTGATGTCCCCGATGCTGGCCAGGGCAAAGCCAAACCCGGAGTAGCTGGGCCCGGTGAGGACCAGGCTGGGGAGCTGCTGGAAGCCCCCAGCCTCGTTCATGTACACGAACACCGCGCCCCCCACCTCCTGCTTCCTCTCGAAGTAGTAGGGGGCCCCCACCAGCAGGTCCTGCCACCTGTGGGGACAGCAGCGGGGTGCTGGGGGCTGTGACACGGCCCTGACCCCACAGGCCTGGAGTGGGGGAGACACCAAAAAAAAACCCCCAAAAAAACCTCCCCAGCCCAGAGCTGGGATGCACAGGGATCCCTGGGAGCTGCAGGTGAGACCCCCACCCTCAGGAGCTGTGAGATGTCCCACGTGAGACCCCCACCCTCAGGAGCTGCAGGGTGCTGCAGGTGAGACCCCCACCCCTAGGAGCTACAGGATATCCCAGGTGAGACCCCCATCCATGGGAGCTACAGGATATCCCAGGTGAGACCCCCACCCCTGAGAGCTGCAGGGTGCTCCAGGTGAGACCCCCACCCATGGGAGATGCAGGGTGCTGCAGGTGAGACCCCCACCCCTAGGAGCTACAGGATATCCCAGGTGAGACCCCCATCCATGGGAGCTACAGGATATCCCAGGTGAGACCCCCACCCCTGAGAGCTGCAGGGTGCTCCAGGTGAGACCCCCACCCATGGGAGATGCAGGGTGCTGCAGGTGAGACCCCCACCCCTAGGAGCTACAGGATATCCCAGGTGAGACGCCCACCCCTGAGAGCTGCAGGATATCCCAGGTGAGACCCCCACCCCTGATAGCTGCAGGATATCCCAGGTGAGACCCCCACCCTCAGGATCTGTGGGATTTCCCAGGTGAGACCCCCACTCCTAGGAGCTACAGGATATCCCAGGTGAGACCCCCACCCCTGAGAGCTGCAGGGTGCTCCAGGTGAGACCCCCACCCATGGGAGATGCAGGGTGCTCCAGGTGAGATCCCCACCCATGGGAGCTGCAGGATGTCCCAGGTGAGACCCCCACCCCTGGGAGCTGCAGGGTGCTCCAGGTGAGACCCCCACCCTCAGGATCTGTGGGATTTCTCAGGTGAGACCCCCACCCCTGGGAGCTACAGGATATCCCAGGTGAGACCCCCACCCCTGGGAGCTGCAGGGTGCTCCAGGTGAGACCCCCACCCATGGGAACTTTGGGGTCCAAGCCCACCTGAGCTTCAGGACATCCTAAGCCGCCCCACCCTCAGGAGCTGGCAGACCCCAGCCCAGGTGACCTCCAGGAAGCCCCAGGTGAGCCCCAGGTGAGCCGGGGGGTCGCGGCCCCTCACCCGTCGTTGTTGAGGTCGGCCAGGGCGAGGGCGCTGCCGAAGTAGGAGCCGACCTGCGGCCCGGGGAGCAGCAGGCTCCGGTTCAGCGTCTGCCGGGCGCCGCGGCTCAGCAGCAGCACGGCTCCGGTGTGCCGGTACCGCGGCGCGCCCGTCACCACGGTCACCGCGTCCCGCTGCAGCACCGCGCTGCCCACCTCGGCCGTGTACCCTGCGGGGGCCGCGTCAGGGAGGGCACGGGGACCCCCCGAGACCCCCTCGTGTCCCCTCCACCCCCCGGAGGCCCCGCATCCCGTCCTGGGTCCCTCCAGCCCCGGGTATCTCAGGGGGAGCACTGGGAACTGCTCACACCCTCCTTAAGTGTCCCTAAGTGTCCCTAAGTGTCCCTAAGTGTCTCTAAGTGTCCCCACGTGTCCCTCGTGCCTTTAACATCCACACCCAAAGCTCACAGCCCCCAAAGCTCCTCCTCAGCCCTTCTCCCTCCATATACCCGATGTCACCCCAATGTCACCACTGCCCCCCGGTCTCACCGTCCCAGAGGGGTCTTCAAGCCTCCCTGGGCCCCCCACCCCTCTAAATCCATCCCCTCCAAACCTCCTCCTCCTCCTCCTCGCCCCCAACCCCCCCGGGGCTCCCCCCACCTATGTAGGTGTTGCCGATCCTCTTGTTGGGGTAGGAGAAGTCGTGCAGGTCCCACGTCTCCCGCTGCAGCATGTAATCCGTGCCTGGAGCGGGGAGGGGGGGTCACCTCAGCACTGGGGGGGGGACAGCTCAGGGACTGACCACAGCACCCGCGTGTAGTGGTGGGCACAGGCCTGGCACGGGGACAGGGGACAGCTCAGGGACAGGGGACAGCTCAGGGACAGCCACAGCACCCACGTGTAGTGGTGGGCACAGGCCTGGGGACAGCAGGGACACTGAGGTTCAGGGGACACCCCAAAGGTGTGGGGACACCCCAAGGGGGTGTGTGTGTAAAGAACCAGGATCTGGGTGTGCAAGCATCCGGGATCTGGGTGTGCAAGGATCTGGGTGTGTAAGGATCTGGGTGTGTGAGGATCTGGGTGTGTAAGGATCTGGGATCTGGGTGTGCAAGGATCTGGGTGTGTAAGGATCTGGGATCTGGGTAAGGATCTGGGTGTGTAAGGATCTGGGTGTGCAAGGATCTGGGGTCTTGGTGTGCAAGGATCAGGGTGTGCAAGGATCTGGGTGTGCAAAGCCCCGCGGTGCCCCCGACTCACCAGGACCCTCCCCGGTGGCTGCCGCTGGCTGGCCACTGTCACCCCCAGCCACATGTCCTCGATGATGGCCTTGTCCGGCTCATCTGCGGGGGAACAGCCGGCCTGAGAGGGGGTCCCCGCTCCTGGGGGGGTTTTGGGGTGGTCACACACCCCGGGGGGGCGGTCACCCACCCTTGAGCTCGATGGCCAGGCGCTGGCAGTCGCGGGTGGTGGCACTCAGGGGACAGGCGTACACGGCGCCCGTCCGTGTCCCGTTCACCGGCTCCGCGTCCTGGGGGGCCCCCACCAGCAGCCTGGGGGGCACAAAGGGGGCTCGTGGGTGGGTAGGTCCAACCCCCCAAACCCCTCCAACTCATTTTGGTGGGTGCCCTGGGGAGGGGACACTTGGGGGACACCGGAGCTGCTTCCCCAGAGTTTGTCACACCCTGACACCCCCAAATAATGGGGTCAGCCTCATCTCCAGAGCTGGAAGGGGACACAGGGACCCCGAATGGCCTCAGGGACAGACTGACAGAGTCATTGCTCCCCCCATTCCTTCCCAGAGCCCCTCCCATGGCTGAGCCCCCATCCCCATGCATGGGGGTGGGAAGAGGAGTCACAGTGACCCCCCCTCAAACCTCGCTGCGCTGGCGGGGAAAACAAGAGGGAGGGGCTGCTCTGAACACCGCGTCCGTGTAAACACCCCCGGCCCCCCCGGCCGGGCTTTGATCCCTCCGCAGCCCCGGCAGCTGCGGCGTGTCCGGCCGACAGCGCCGAGCCGCGTGCCAGGGAATGCGGGACAGCAGGGACAGAGCCCCGGGAGCGGGGAGGGGGGACAGACACCCTCGTGTGGGACGGACACCCCTTGTGTGGGATGGACGCCCCTCATCCAGGATGGACACCCCTTATCCGGGATGGGGACCCCTCATCCGGGATGGGGACCCCTTATCCAGGATGGACACCCCTCGTGTGGGATGGACACCCCTCATCCGGGATGGGGACCCCTTATCCGGGATGGACACCCTCGTGTGGGATGGACACCCTCATGTGGGACGGGCACCCCTCGTGTGGGATGGACACCCCTCATCCGGGATGGGGACCCCTTATCCGGGATGGACACCCCTCGTGTGGGACGGACACCCTCGTGTGGGACAGACACCCCTTATCCGGGATGGACACCCCTTGTGTGGGATGGACACCCCTCATCCAGGACAGACACGCCCCCATCCCAGACAAACACCTCTCATGTGGGATGGACACCCCTCAGCCTGGACAAACACCCCTCATCCAGGACAGACACCCCTCGTGTGGGACAGACACCCCTCAGGCCAGACAGACACCCCTCATGTGGGATGGACACCCCTCAGCCTGGACAAACACCCCTCATCCAGGACAGACACCCCTCATCCAGGACAGACACCCCTCATCCACGACAGACACCCCTCGTGTGGGATGGACACCCCTCATCCCGGACAGACACCCCTCAGGCCGGAGGGGCTCGGGCAGCACGGGGCTGTCCCAGGACAGGCAGCACCTCCCAGGGGTGACCTCCCCCAGGAAGGGCAGTGCCATGGGGGACATTGGCATTCCGGGCTGGATGTGCCCCCAGCCCCTTCAGGTGATGCTGAAGGGACCCCCCACCCCAAAGGAAGATTCCGGGGACCCCAAGGAAGGTCCTAAGCCCTGGCAGGGGAGCGGGACAGCTCAGGGACTGACCACAGCACCCGCGTGTAGTGGTGGGCACAGGCCTGGCACGGGGACAGGGGACAGCTCAGGGACAGGGGACAGCTCAGGGACAGCCACAGCACCCACGTGTAGTGGTGGGCACAGGCCTGGGGACAGCAGGGACACTGAGGTTCAGGGGACACCCCAAAGGTGTGGGGACACCCCAAGGGGGTGTGTGTGTAAAGAACCAGGATCTGGGTGTGCAAGCATCCGGGATCTGGGTGTGCAAGGATCTGGGTGTGTAAGGATCTGGGTGTGTGAGGATCTGGGTGTGCAAGGATCTGGGGTCTTGGTGTGCAAGGATCAGGGTGTGCAAGGATCTGGGTGTGCAAAGCCCCGCGGTGCCCCCGACTCACCAGGACCCTCCCCGGTGGCTGCCGCTGGCTGGCCACTGTCACCCCCAGCCACATGTCCTCGATGATGGCCTTGTCCGGCTCATCTGCGGGGGAACAGCCGGCCTGAGAGGGGGTCCCCGCTCCTGGGGGGGTTTTGGGGTGGTCACACACCCCGGGGGGGCGGTCACCCACCCTTGAGCTCGATGGCCAGGCGCTGGCAGTCGCGGGTGGTGGCACTCAGGGGACAGGCGTACACGGCGCCCGTCCGTGTCCCGTTCACCGGCTCCGCGTCCTGGGGGGCCCCCACCAGCAGCCTGGGGGGCACAAAGGGGGCTCGTGGGTGGGTAGGTCCAACCCCCCAAACCCCTCCAACTCATTTTGGTGGGTGCCCTGGGGAGGGGACACTTGGGGGACACCGGAGCTGCTTCCCCAGAGTTTGTCACACCCTGACACCCCCAAATAATGGGGTCAGCCTCATCTCCAGAGCTGGAAGGGGACACAGGGACCCCGAATGGCCTCAGGGACAGACTGACAGAGTCATTGCTCCCCCCATTCCTTCCCAGAGCCCCTCCCATGGCTGAGCCCCCATCCCCATGCATGGGGGTGGGAAGAGGAGTCACAGTGACCCCCCCTCAAACCTCGCTGCGCTGGCGGGGAAAACAAGAGGGAGGGGCTGCTCTGAACACCGCGTCCGTGTAAACACCCCCGGCCCCCCCGGCCGGGCTTTGATCCCTCCGCAGCCCCGGCAGCTGCGGCGTGTCCGGCCGACAGCGCCGAGCCGCGTGCCAGGGAATGCGGGACAGCAGGGACAGAGCCCCGGGAGCGGGGAGGGGGGACAGACACCCTCGTGTGGGACGGACACCCCTTGTGTGGGATGGACACCCTCATCCGGGATGGGGACCCCTTATCCAGGATGGACACCCCTCGTGTGGGACAGACACCCCTTATCCGGGATGGACACCCCTCGTGTGGGATGGACACCCCTCATCCGGGATGGACACCCCTCATCGAGGACAGACACCCTCGTGTGGGATGGACACCCCTTATCCAGGATGGACACCCCTTGTGTGGGATGGACACCCCTCATCCAGGACAGACACGCCCCCATCCCAGACAAACACCTCTCATGTGGGATGGACACCCCTCAGCCTGGACAAACACCCCTCATCCAGGACAGACCCCCCTCGTGTGGGACAGACACCCCTTATCCGGGATGGACACCCCTCGTGTGGGACAGACACCCCTCAGGCCAGACAGACACCCCTCATGTGGGATGGACACCCCTCAGCCTGGACAAACACCCCTCATCCAGGACAGACACCCCTCAGGCCGGACAGACACCCCTCGTGTGGGATGGACACCCCTCATCCCGGACAGACACCCCTCAGGCCGGAGGGGCTCGGGCAGCACGGGGCTGTCCCAGGACAGGCAGCACCTCCCAGGGGTGACCTCCCCCAGGAAGGGCAGTGCCATGGGGGACATTGGCATTCCGGGCTGGATGTGCCCCCAGCCCCTTCAGGTGATGCTGAAGGGACCCCCCACCCCAAAGGAAGATTCCGGGGACCCCAAGGAAGGTCCTAAGCCCTGGCAGGGGAGCTGGCACGGCCGCAGGGCTCCGGAAGGGCCAGCCTTTCCGCCGGGAAGTCCTTCGGGAGCGCCGGGACAATGGCGTGGAGGTGGCCGGGCTGGGGGAGGAAGTGCCTCCCTCTGGCAGGCGGGACACGGGGGAACACAGCACCCAGGACACAGGGGACATGGCACCCAGGATGGAGGTGACAGCGCACCCAGGACACAGGGGACATGGCACCCAGGACATGGAGGTGACATGGCACCCAGGACACAGGGGGACATGGCACCCAGGTCACGGGGAGACATGGCACCCAGGACACAGCGGGGGACACGACACCCAGGTCACGGGGAGACATGGCACCCAGGACATGGAGGTGACACGGCACCCAGGACACGAGGGGACACAGCACTCAGGACATGGAGGGGACACAGCACCCAGGACACGGGGGGACATGGCACCCAGGATATGGCACTCAGGACACGGCACCCAGGACATGGAGGGGACACTGCACTCAGGACATGGCACTCAGGACATGGGGGGACACGGCACCCAGGATATAGCACCCAGGACATGAAGGGGACATGGCACACAGGACATGGCACAGAGGACACAGAAGCGACACGGCACCCACAGCTGCTCACGGGGCACCGGTGTACCGAGCTGGCCAGTGCTCAGCAGGGCCACCAGCGAGGACAGGGCCAAGTGCCGCTGTCCCCATCCCAGCGAGGACAGACCAAGTGCCGCTGTCCCCATCCCAGCGAGGACAGACCAAGTGCCGCTGTCCCCATCCCAGCGAGGACAGGGCCGAGCGCCGCTGTCCCCATTGTCCCCAAACCAGCGAGGACAGGGCCGAGCGCCGCTGTCCCCGCAGCAGCGCCCGCGGGCAGGGAGCGCCGGCAAGCCGAGCAATGCGGGGCCGGCAGCCGGGCACGTCCGGGCGGGCCGGGCGCTGACTCAAAGCCCAGGCGCAGGAGGAATGCGGGGCCCCGGGCAGCCCCCGCCCCGGCACGCCGGGACCCCCCCGGGGCGGCTGAGTCAGCCCG